GAATATAAATCATTCTATTATAAAGACACGTGCACACATATGTTCAGTGCAGCACAATTCACAATAGCAAAGACATGGAATCAACCTAAATGTTCATCAGTGATCGACTGGACAAAAATAATGTGTTACATATACACCGTGGAATACTGTGTAGCCATCATAAAGAATAAGATCATGTCCTTTGCAAGGACATGGATACAGATGGAGACTATCATCTTTAGCAAAAGAATTAAGGAACAGAAAACCAAGTACCTCATGTTCTCACTTATAAGTGGGAGCCAAATGATAAGAACACATGGACACATAGAGGGAAACAAAACACACACTGGGGACTTTCAGAGGGTAGAGGATGGGAGAAGGGAGACAATCAGGAAAAATAACTAATGGGTACTAGGCTTTATGCCTGGGTGATGAAATAATCTGTATAACAAATCCCCATAACACAAGTTTACCTATGTAACAAACCTGCACACGCACCCCTGAACTTCACAGTTAAAAAAAATAACAAAGACAAATATCAAAAAATGGTCAAAAGACTTGAATAGGCAATTCACAAATATAAATGACTGATAAACATAATAAACAAAATTATGAATGTATTTATATCATTTTTTCATACTGTATTTTATACCATTGCATATTCACCAATTAAAATAGTAAATGTAAAAACTCTTGGTCATATGTAGTCTTGGCAACGTTTTGGGTAAATGGGAACTCTCACACAGTGCTGGTAGGCATATAAAATAGGTAAAACTTTGCTGAAGGGCAATGTGACAACATACAACAAAAATCTAAAATATACAATGCCTTTGCCACAACAATTCCACTACTAGGAATTGATCCTAGGTAAATAGGGATGCACACAAGGACTCATAAATAAAAATATTCATGTCTATTTTTGATACAATAGCAAAATATTATAAAGAACCTAAAAGATCAACATTAGAGAATTTGTTGAATAAGATATGGTATCTCCTACCAATGCACTTATTAAAAATGAATTGTACAAGACTATTTAGAGACATGGAAAGCTGTCTGCTACATACAGACATTAAGTGAAAAAAGTTATGATCAATATACAGAGTATATTTCATTTTAGGCAAAAGGTATGTATAGCATGTATATTAATGTCTATGAAGAAGATATTTGAACTAATTATCTCTGAGTTGGGATTATAGATATTTTTATTATAGATAATTTTTATTGTCTTCCTTCTGCTTCTAATTCATTGCTCTACAATAAAGATATATTGCTCTTATAATAAAAAATCCAATAAAAGTTATTTTTAAAAAAATATCAGTGCTAATGCCCTATAAATGATGCTGTGAGAAATATCATTTCTCACAGTCTTGGGTCTTGGTCTTAGTGGCCAAAAAAAATATTAGGAAGTCTTGGGTCTTAGTGGCCAAAAAAAATATTTAGCAGAAGTCTGCAAAAAGGTTTTGGTGCTGCAGGGAGGCCTGAAATGTTGCTGCTCTATAACTGGAGCCCTGCGGGGCACTGCTTGGGTCTGGACCACCACAAAGTGACGGCATGAGCACCAGCCCTGCCCTCCAGAGCAGCTGGCATAGTTTTAGTTTTCCAGCAAAAGGAATAGCTGCAAACAACGATTAAAAAAATTAGCACCTGTCTTGCCTAGGACAATGGGTCCAGCTAGGTTGGGTCCACCTGGCATGGCCGGGCCTCTACTGGGCATGTCTATGTCTAAGCCATATAGTCAGGAGTGTGAGAGCAACAAACACTTGCTAGTCCCAAGGTTTGATTTTTACAGTTATGGAAAAGCGAGGCCCAGGTGGGCCTGCGCCTGTGTTGCTCAGGCAATGTTCCTTTAGGATAGTTGTAGTAGTGGCTTGAGGTGAAATGACTGCTAGCATGCCTGATAACTAAAATAGCCATTTCTGGAATAATCTCACCTAGTGGGGATCTCAACACTCAAGACTTAATGAAGAAGAATGAGCTCTGATACATGGCTTAAAAAACCCCAGCTCTCCCTTCTCCCCTTACTGCTGTGAAATGTAAAAATCAGGGTTTATGAGTTGCTGTTTCTGTGCCACAGAACCATGAAGTTCTCTAAGACTGTTACAGCCAGCTGACCTCAGACGGAGTAAACACACACACTGGCATCTCATCACTCACTGGCTACAACAGGGCTGGCGAACAGCTTTCATCCTGTATACATCAGCTATCACCAGGCTTGGTAGGAACATTAAAATTAATTCCAAGGCAGTGCCTGGGCTGAGTGAAAAAGAATGTCATGACTGATTAGGGATGTCTTGGCTGTGTGAGGAGGGATTAACAGTATCTTCGCCACATATTTCCACCTCGGTCTAGAATACCTGTTATCCTCAAAACAGGGTTTCTTCATTAAATCTCTCCCACTATCAATTATTCCTACAGAACATCAGATTAATGCTTCTCATACATTACTTTTAGTATGTCATTCTCTTCTTTAAAAACCCTCTAACGATTTGTTCCCATTCCCCATATAGTACATCTACTTCCTTCATTTTATATTCAAGGCCTCCACAATTTGATGCCATTTACAGTGTTAATGTCTCAGCAACCCTACATAAAACCTCCTCTCCAGCCTCTCTAGCTTATTTCTCATACCCAGAGCACACACTGTGGTCTGAAAGGGCCACCTATAGGAGCCAGGGATGGGAGCCTGTCCAAATGGGAGCAACTGGACTAACAGACTAGCATGAGGTACGAGCTGGGGAAGTTCAGGATGGAGGGAGGGTATTAGTATTGCTGGCGTGAGGGTCTAAGCCAAATCTGAATGGACAAGGACTGGCTGAGGTTTGTTCATTTTGATGGCCTAGTTTCTATCCCAGTATAGGTGCCTGTCATCAGTCTTAAAGCAGTGGCATTTTACAAATGTTTCTGAACAGACATCTGATACATATGTTGCACATTTTTCATCTTAGGGCTCATGGAATCTTCCTTGAATGCCCATTCCTCTTCTTTTCTGCCTATTTGGATCCCACCCATCCTGCAGTATTGAGCTCCAAAGCATCAGAGTGAGGCACTGTCTCCAATAACCTGCTTCTCAGAGTCCTGATACTTTACATCATTCTTTCATTCATTTCCACAATTCCATGTGAGTCTCCTAGTTCACTGACATTCATCACTCAAGTCCATTTGGTCCAGGCAGTTCATTGAGGGACTTTATGAATACTGACTCACTGTCTCATTCAAATGGAGCAGTCTGGATGTGGACTGGGATTTTAAGGTGTCTCTTAACTACTAAATTTAAATACCAGTCTAAGGTAACAAAGCACCATAAACTAGCAATGGAATGCAGCAGCATAAAGTACAATAAATTCTTATTGCCCATGGCTAAAATGAAACAAAATATTATTCCAGAATAAGGGAGAATGAAAGTAAAGCTATCATGAAAAAATATGAGCAGGTTAACTTTTCCAGCATGCTAAATGGCACCTGAGTGACCCAAAAAAGTTATTGAACTTGAAAATAAACAGCTGCTGCACACCCTGCTCGTGACCGGGCTATGATGAACAGTTATGAGAATTTCTCTAGTGATGAGTCTAAAACAAAGGAGTGCACAATGCACATCTCATTTGGAATAAATTTACTATTTGTAAGCCAAAGTCAACATGCAATTTGAAACTTCTATTAATTTTGATCAACATGACATAGAAAAACTCAGTGCCAAACTTGTATAAATCATGGGCAACAGAATAGGGCTACTTGTTACTTTCCCTGTGTCTCATTTTTACCCAAGTTCACAAACAGAGAAATCAGAAGATTTTTTCCATATGCTGATAAGCTATGAAGATTCTTTACGAGTTTCAGATGATAATGAAAACTGAAGGTCATCTTTCTGTGCTCTAACCCTAAAGATACTAGGCTCCTGTGTCTGTGTTAAGTCATCACCTATATGACTGGGAACCCCTTGGCCTCCTGTTCCTTGCTAGCTGGTGGGTAAAGGAATACAGACACTTTAAACTTGAGCCACAGGGATAATTCTAGCTATTATTGTCAACATGTGGGATCACACAGAGTTACTGTGAAGATTTTCCCCACTTTGCAGGCCTTGGCTTTTTGTTTTATTTTAAAGAGGAGTTTTAGATCTTAGGTTCACAGCACAAGAGGAAGGTACAGAAACTTCTCATATATTCCCTGTCCCTGCACATGTATAGACTTGTATTTTTTCCCTCAGGTCTTCTGAAGGCAGAAGAATTCTTCTCTTCCACCTTGTCCATCTCCGGAGGTCATGTGTGAAGGTTTTTCTGGCATCTCCATGAAGCTGGTGTGGCATCCCTGGACTTTAATGCCCTTGTATAATTCCTGGCTGCCAGAGGGCACTACCCATGTGGAAGGTAACTTGGTGAAGGTTTCCAACACTAGATGACAGGGAGGTTGTACTTGGTGAAATTAATTCAGCACTTGCCTTGAGGAGTCCATCTGGGTTAGCTTTATGCTATATCTACAGAAACCTGGCCTAAATGGTATAGCCTTTTCCTTTTGGAGGGTGCTGATATCTTATTTTCTCCTCAAAAGTTGATTATTACTCTAGTTTAGGTGGGAGGGGGTCATGGCGGAGTACCGGAGAATGCTTACCAAGAGGAGACGAGAAATAGGAGCTGTTCTTTACTGCTGCATCTTTCTCAAAGTTTCATGAGTCAGTCTGATTGAAAGGATCTGGACTATGGCATTAGCCCAAGAGGATTCAGAAAGGAGCCATGTTGGAATCTAGACAAGCCATAGAGTCCAGACTAACAACTGCATTCACCTCATATGGAAAGTTAGCCAAGTTTCCACTGGTGAGTCTGGATTCTGTAGGCAATTTAGTGATTTCCTGTTGGCCAGCGCCCCCCCCCCCCCCCCCCCTGCCTCCCCCCCCCCTTTTTTTTTTTTTCTCAGACATGCATTCTTGCCCCCCACTGCTGCCTCCCTCCCACCTGCAAGCAGTCACCCATCCATAAATCCTGTCCAGTCCTGGATTTCTGCCTAATGTTTCCAAGGGTTGGACTCACCAAGGACAGCAGAATTCCCAGGATCCAGGACCAGCTGTGTTCCCAGAGGAGACGTCAGCACTGAAGGAAGGTTTGGTCCAGTGGCTGCGAGCAAGGCCCTGATGTCTTCCAACTGTGTGGGGACTTGCGGGGGATCTGTGAAAAGGCAGATGGCGGATCAGGCAGGTTAAAACACAAGGTTGTGTCGACAGAAACGGAAGACGTGGGTATGTGTGTGCATACGTTTAAGATAGGCATTGCTACTGTTGCCTTTTAACATCACTTTTCCAACAGAGGGCTGCCTATCAAGGTGAGTATAAATTTCAAACTTAATACAGGTATTTGATGCCTGAAATAATAAGGTCGGTAAGAGGAAGCAGGCATGCAGATTTCAGGGGTTTCTCACTTTAGACCATTGGGTACCAACAAATTTGAAGATAAGTTAAACTATACTATAAAGACACTTTTTAAAAAAGCCAATTTTAGTATTTACTGTCTGCCAAGTTCTGTGCTAAATCGATTTCAGTCCATTTTTCATTTAGTCCTAATAACAGTCTTTAGAGTGAGGCACCTTGTTATTGTCCGTACAGAGATACACCACAGGAATTTCTTAGGTAAAAGGACCCTTTTTTATGAAGCAAAAGGGACAGTTGTGCAGCTGATAAGTTAATTTGCTTTGTGGTCTGGATTTTTATGCCTAAGTAGGATCTAGATAAAGCAGAGCAGGAGAAGAGTGTTGCTACGCGATGCTTCGCTATTCAGAATCTTACAAGGAATCAGCGCTGAAGTCACTGGAGGTCCCAGTTAACCAATGCGAAAAGTGACTAAAATGCAAAATATATAGCGGCTTGGTTATCATTCCTGCTGGACAAATAAAGAGGTAAACACCTGCTGAACTTCTCTTGGAAAAGCGGCAGATCCCGATCCCTTTGCCTCTCTTTCTGCACCTCCTGAAGAGCTGCGGTTTACACTCCCAAGGCCAGCTCCCACCTTTTTCTCTAGAACATTTGTTGGAATGGAAGCAGCAGCAGGAGTACTGCTTTTGAAAGGGAAGGTTATTTCAGCAGCATTCTGCAAGGGCCCTACTACGTGCCTGGCACCTTGCTATGCATTTGTTGGGGATGGTGAATTAATAAGTCATGATGGTGCCTGATTCTACTTGAGAAACATACCTTCAGTCTTTCTGGCTTTGGCGGGCAAAGACCATTGTATAGAGAAAATGATGAACTTGAGATTACATATGTGTGTATATGTGTATGTATGTAGGTGTATGTGTGTATATATATATATATATATATATATATATATATATATGTGAAATATACTTAAAAAACCCCTTTCCATATGGCATAGAGGAAAACATCATGCCTGGGTTCAGGAACCCTCAGTGTGAGCCATGGCTCTGTCATTCACTAATTAGGTCATTTAAATCCTCAGAGTCTTAGTTTTCTCATCTATAAAATGAGGTTCCTTTCCAAGATCTCTTTCTACTCTGGAATACCATGATTTTAGGAATTGATGGTGGCAGTTTACTCAAAGCGTCTTTCTCTCCTCCTCAATATTTCCTCTTGAAACTCAAGAAACCTTTGCTTATTTACTAAGAGCAAAAAAAGGAGGCTACTTTCCACCTTCAAAACAATCAGCTCTTTTTGAACCAAATATTGGTCCCTCCTCATGTCCTTACAGCTTCGACAGTATTTTTCCTCTTCAGTGCGTGTCCGTTTGCTCTTCCCAGGGAAACTGTCAGTTCTCCGGGTGTAGAGGCCAGCACTTAGATTTCTACTAAAACTTTACCAGTGTCTAGCTGACATGGAACTTAATGTCAGCAACATTAAATGGCAACACTTGATGAATATCTGTCCAATGGACTATATGAATACATGGATAAAAGTCTTATCACACTTCAAGTCCTCATGGTGCAGATTAACTCACAGAACTTGGGGTAAAATCTCAGCTTTATCCACAAAATGCCCCCTTTAAAAATCAAGCTATATTTTTGCTGATTAAGAGAAAAGCTTTGATGTTCATAAAGAACCTATTAAAAGTTAACAAACTTTCATTAATAAAACCAAAAATTGTGATCAAGAAAAACCTTAAACTTAAGAGTCTTAACAATGATTTTTTCCCCATTAAGTTTCATGAAAATGGGGAAGACTTTTTGTTCTTCGAACCCCATGTCCTCTGTTACAGTGTATTAGAACTGGAATGCAGTAAGAACCTGCCTACGGAACATACACACTTCATTGGCAAAGCCACAGTAGCAGCCCTACATCTTAGACTTTCACGTCTGTTAGCAGAGGCAACAGGGAAGGGTTATTAGGGAGGAAAACACTCATTGCTCAGCATCATAATTCAGTGTGGGGCAATATTCCCTGGGCTCTGGGCTCCAGACTAGCAGCTCAGCTGGATGAAACCCAAGGCAAAACAAATGACATCTTTCTCTGAGCCAATTTTCTGTGGCTTCCTAAGATGTCTGGAGGTTTATGCAGCCACCAGTGAGATGAAAGCCCGTTTGGGCCTCTCTGAAATCTGAGTGGGCAGGGTCTAGAGAACCTATGTGAAGGTGTATCTTCAACTCTGGGTGTGAAAACAGAAGTGTAAAGTTTAAATATTTTTCCCCGAGGAGGTCTGTAATGTACGTGTATATATGTATGTATGACATGTAATTATTATTTCTTACATCTTTCCTTTTTTTCCTTAGAATGACAGCTTTCTCTGGGTGGGAAAGAACATAATTATTAGAGTGCACAAGGGTATCCCTAGCCCAGGGGACAAAAAGGATTATGGCTTGCAACTTGGCTGAGTCCAGAACTGGGCAATAATCGGGTGGTGGATGGTGTCCCAGCAATTGTTATTTTTAAGCACCCATTTTATACCAGGAGCCATGCCAGCCTCTTTAATCAGCAATTCTTATGTTTAGGGGTACATGTGGAGACTTTAGGTGGACCAGACCATAGGCTTCCTGGAATTATAGGAAAAATTTTACATGTATGCATTTTTCTAGAAAGAGAAATCCATAGTTTCTATCTGATTGTCAAAGAAGTCCTTAATGCAGGAAGAGTTAAGGATAATTGTTTTAATTCTGTTATCTCTGAGATCCCTGATCTCTCAATCTTGTAATCCTTGTTTCTGGAGTCCCCACATAGAGGCCAGTATCTAAGGCTTAGCAGAGTGAAGTAACTTGCCCAAGGCCACACAATTAGTAAATGGTAGAGCCAGGGTTCAAGTTCTTGTTTGACTGGCCTTGTTCTATTGAAAGCCCATAAATTGGGAAGAAGTGAAGGGATACTGATTTTACCTTTTATGTCCTTAATTGGATTAAAGACATAGGAGAACATATCTTTTATGTCCTTAATTGGATTAAGGACATAAGGGAACAAAGGAGGTAGAGGATGGGTTAGAGAGTCACCCCCAAGAGGGTGCACCAGAGGCAGCCAGCTTTGAGGTGTTTACCTAGGATCAGCAGCTGGGTGCTCTCAGTCAGCTCTCCATGAACATTGGCCGCCCTGCAGGAGTATACGCCCTGATCTGAGGCTGACACGTTTGTGAGCAGCAAGGAGCCTTCATGCAGATGGTGGGGGGAACCCAGTTTGCTTTTATTCCTGAACCAAGTGACTTCAGCTTCAGGTACTCCTAGGAAGAACAAATATAAACTCATCAGTCAAACACGTTCAGGTGAGCCCAGAGGCATTTACAGCTTCTTGAATCCCCCTTCCCTGAGGCTGCTCTACAGGGCCATCTTCTACCTTGCTTTGGCTAAACTAAATAATGCCCTGGACCTCTCAGTTGTCTCCAGATCTTTTGCCTTTTAAAACTTGCAGCGACGAGGCAGGAAGGAGGAGGCCAGTACCAAGAGGAGGAAACAGGTAGCTGGCACAGGGGACCTGCCAAGGTGGAAGGAGTGTACCTAAATTCTTTGGAGACAGCATATTTGAAAAACACGAGAACCAAATGTATGCACCAGTGAAAATGAAACTACATGAAACAAACATCATGTTGAGTAAGTGATGCCAGACACAAAAGTACATACTATATTATTTCATTTCCATAAGTACAGAAACAAAACCTGGTAACATTAATCTATGCTGTTAGTAGTCAGTGGAATGAATGGGGAGGGGTTGTGACCGAGAAAGGGGACAAGGGGCTTGGCCACTGGTGATGCTGTGTGTCTTGACCTGGGGCTGGTCTGGTGGGGAGTGTTCACTTGGTACCTTTATGCTATGTGTACTTTTCTGTAAAGATATCATAGTTTAATAAAGGGTGAAAAGCTGTACTATGTTAAAATATATGTATGAACTAGACAAATGGAAGCTGCTAGATTCTTACTGGAGTTGACACTCTATGTAGAAAACATGCTTGTATTTTTGGAAGCCTACATATCTTTTCAGAACAAGAAAACATGAAATGGTAGTATCAGTAGAACCACAGGCAAAGGACAAACGGAAAGTGCTCAACTCTTTCCACAATCCAAGTTGATTTTCTGCGAGAGAGCTGGGGAGATCGTCTGCTGACTTGGGATGGGTTCTCTCTTTGGAAACCAGGCTCTATGTTCTAGGGACAGCGCGAGTTCCTCAGGAAGTTTCCTTGTGGTTAACATGCTGGTAAAAGGCCTTGGGAATTTAGGGCAAGCCTTCCTAGATGCTATTTTAGGAGGATCCTATAGGAGGCTGGGCTCTGAGTGTGTTGAGAGATTGAAAGTCTACGGCACTGCTACAAAGGTCTCTAGGGAGCAGAAAGCTCCCTCCCCCACACACCTCAGCCTGCTGCCCAGCTCACAGTTTACCTGTAGAACTCGCTGGCATGTATCCAGAGCATACTTAAAGTGTCAAGAACTGGCTGGATGCAGTGGCTCATGCCTGTAATTCCAGCACTTTGGGAGGCTGAGATGTGTGGATCACGAGGTCAGGAGCTTGAGGCCAGCCTGACCACCATGGTGAAACCCATCTTTACTAAAAACTCAAAAATTAGCCAGGTGTGGTATTACACGCCTGTAATCCCAGCTACTCAGAAGGCTGAGGCAGGGGAATCACTTGAACCCTGGACGTGGAGGTTACAGTGAGCTGAGATTATACCACTGTATTCTAGCCTGTGTGACACAGCAAGAATGTGTCTTAAAAAAAAAAAAAAAAGCGTCAAGTTCTGGGAAATGGGGTCAAAGCCAAGAATGGCCAAGGAACCAGACCTTTAGTACAGTAGTCTAGTGTTTTCCCTAAGATGGGGCTGGCTTTTGCCTTTCGGGCAAGGGCAGTTTGCCCTTAATGGCTAGCCTACCGTTGAGGATGTAGAGTCTTCAAGGAGCTGCCTATTTATCTGTTACTTGTCCTTGAAAGTGGAAGGAGAAAGAGGCAGGGCTATCAAAAGCGGTGGAAACTTGGGGGAATACCACAGCTTTGTCACATCAGAGAGAGGCACACGCTAATCTGGCTCTAATAGTAGGATACTTGATGCTCAAGTGCATGGGAGGGGCCAGGTTGGCATCATCACTACAGATACCTGGAGAAAAGACACAGGTGAGGGGCAGAACAGCTGATTTTTCATCGCAGCACCACTAGGGAGAGCAAGAGCATCAGGATGCCTGTCCATGCCAGCTTGGAATTTGGACCCTGAACTTAGTATTTTTGCATTAAAAAAATCCACAGCATTCAGGAGAAAGGCTCAGAAGTAAGTTGAAGAAAAGCACTTCCAGTTATTTTTCTCCTGAAAGCACAAGGAAAAATGAGGTCCCACAAACCCTTTTTCTTTCTTTTGAGATGGAGCCTCTCCTCTGTCACCCAGGCTGGAGTACAGTGGCATAATCTCAGTTTAGTGCAGCCTCCGCCTCCCCAGAATCACTGGGTTCCAGTGATTCTCCTGCCTCAGCCTTCCGAGTTACATGGAATTACAGGCATGCGCCACCATCCCCGGCTAATTTTTGTATTTTTAATGGAGATGCGGTGTCACCATGTTGGTGAGGCTGCTCTCGAACTCCTGACAGCAGATGATCCACCTGTCTCAGCCTCCCAAAGGGTTGAGATTACAGGTGGGAGCCACCATGCTGGCCCTGCAAAGCGTTTTCTACCAGTATTCATCCTCTTACGCTCGCATTGCTCACACGCAGCACTTACTGCCCGCATCTTCCTTAGAGGAGGGCTGTGGGTCACAAACACAGAGAATCAGAGGGAGAGAAAATGAGAGTGAGAGTGACAGAGCATTAGAGGGAGGGAGGAACAGGAGGAGAAGGGAGAGAACCCAGGGATGAAGAGACACCTGGGAGCTATTTCTCACTCCCCCAAGAATTGCTTGCAAGCTTCTTCCATTCCCTTTATGACTGTCTGTCTCATGCCACTCTAAAATTGTGCTCGTTTTGAGAGGACAGGACTGGATATAAAATAAAAGGGCTGAATTCTGTGACAGCAGGGGCTTTCATGGGAGAAATGGAAATGTTCAGAATAGCAGGGTGGAGGAAGAAAACTCCAGTCTCTGTAACCCTGGAACCGTGGACGTGACAGCAGTCCCAAGGGAAGAGAAATTCAGTTGGAATCATTCTTGAATCTATTAGCAAACCTCTCATTTAGCACAGCTCTCATTCAAGCACAGATCTGCATTATGAGTTTGCTGAGGCAGGTGTTGTTGCTGGTGCCACATTTTGAGGACTTCCTGCCTGGAACTGTGGGCCTTAGGCAGAGAATGATATTACGGGACAGCCCGTCCTTCCACAACTGGCTCTAACATTACACGTGTAGAATGAGGAAAGAGAAAAAAACAATTGAGGTGTTAGAGGTTTTTTTTTTCTTTTTCTCTCAAGAAATCACAATGATGCTTTAGAAAACTTCACCAGCCCTTGAATGTTCCACAGAGTCCCTTGAAAAGGTACCAGATACATATGCCTAATACTGACCTTCAGAATACCTCAACATCAGAGTGTACCAAGCTTGCCAAAATGTCCTGAGTGCATTAAAGAGAGAAATAACATTGACTGAACATTTACTATATGCCAAACATTTCATAAACACAATCACTTATTTTTCACAATGATCCTGTGAAGCAGGTACTATTAACTCCATTTTATAAATGAGAAAAAGGGTCTCATAGAGATTAAGAAATTTGCCTAAGGTCACATTCGTTTGGATGCCTGAACAATGACATGGGGACAGAGTTGCTGTTCCCCCCAGTTCTCTACCCTACAGCCAATCAGTAACCCCCCAGTGCCAGGGTGGGGATTCAAACTGAAATACCTTTAATGCCAACAGTCCTCATCTTAACAAGTGTGCACCGTCTGCCATTATACAGTAGCTTGCCTCTTGAGAGAAAATCTGAACTGCTGCTTCACTATTTCTGAACTGCCAAACCCTTAATTCCTTTACGCTTTCAGAATTAATGTTTGCTGTGGTTACAACACCAAGGTGTCATCAGGAGAGAGGTTCCAGAGTCCATGTGTTCGGACTTTGTTCGCTCTCCCTTGTTGAGAAGCTTGGTCAGGTTGTGGGAGATGATCTTTTCTAGACTGCTGTGGTGTGACAGCAAATGCCACAGAAAGAAACACCTGAAAATGACAGAAAATATGCTCTCCCGCAGAACAAAATCCAAGAACTATGTTGCTATTGACCAGCTACTTGGATAGGCTCCACACGCTAAACTCCCTGGTATTATTTGAAGCTTAAAACAGGAAAGGAAAAGAACCCGTGTTTGTGTTTTCCCCTGAGGCGTATCTTTTCAACAGCCCAGTGCTCTCCCTGCCGCTTCAAAGGATCAATAAATGAGCTTAGTCACAATCAGCAGTAACTCGATATGATTATAAGGTCCAGTGCCTTTGATGTCCACGGAGCTGCCAGGTAGGGTGATGCTATAATATTCTTTAAAAAAAAAATCCCAGACAGGGTATTCTTGTTAACTGGATGCCTTATGATATTTGGAAGGGTGCCTGCACCATGGCAGTGTGTCAACATCTCAAGGTGGGGTGTCTAATCAAAGGTGCACCTTTACATTATAAGTTCTAGAAGCTTCCTAGGAGGTGTGGAGGTAGGGTGGCTTAGGGAAAGGAAAGAGAAAGCATACAGCAACCCAACTGTCAGCCTTGTAAATTATTCTAAGGAACCATGGCAGTTTGGAAACAAGGTTTTCGGCCTTCCGTGATTCTCCATACTGATTGTGGCAGACAATGACAGTTGTTCACAAAACTGGTTTCCCTTTTTCCTGAGTACCCAGTGAGGGCACCTTCCCCAGTATCCTTTGTAGTTGTATGTGGCCATGTGACTAAAGAGTGTGAAAAGTCTTAATGTGTGCTCCTTCCAGGTGTGGCTCGTAAAAGCCTTCCCAACCATCCCCCATATTCTATTTTCCCCTCTCCTGGTTGATGGGATAGAGGTAACCCCTAGGGAGACGCTGGAAGGCATGTGTTCAAGATGACAGGGCCACCAGCATCATGTGACCCTGAATGACGGATCCTCTCCAGATGACCAGGTGTACTTTTTGGGCTCCTAAGTAAGCAAAATAAGACTTCTATTTTATTTGAGCCATCATACATTTGGGGGTCTACTTGACACCAGTGTCTAACCTATCATAACACACCACCCATCACTGACTCCTGAACTGTTTATTTCTGCATCCCTAGTCCTGCTAATTTTATCTCCTAAGTAAGTCCTTCAAACACTTCCTTTGCTTTTAGGAGAAAAACCTAAACTCTACCATAATCAATGAGAACAGGTAAGATCTAGGCCCTGCCTACCCCCACCGTCTTAGCCTCATATGCTACTTTCTTCTCTGCTCTCAATATTATAGCCATACCACCAGCCAGTTTCTACTTCTTTAAATGCAACATGCTCTTTCTACCTCAGGCCCTTTGCACATACTGTTCCCATTTACTGAAACACTGCTTCCTTCCCTGATCCTTTATCACTGACTCAGTTTTCTGACCTCTTCAGAGAACAAATGGAAAATCAGTATGGGAGTGATACAGTGAATCAGGTCAGTTTTCCAGAAAAAGCCCATCATACTCATATGCTGATGCTTTTGAGGCTTCAGGGTTGGGAAGAATGTGTGAGGCTGTATTCTGTAAACTGAAAGCACACGTGTGCAAGAAGCTGTTTAATAAAAAATTGCTAACAACTCAAACATGTAAGTCAGTCTAGGTAAATTAACATAATATTCTTAAAATAGGCTATTATACAGCCATTAAAATTATGCTTATGACACAGACAAATGTTTATTACTGAGAGAAAATAAAGCAGGATAAAAGGTGATGATTAAGGAAATATACTAAAATGTCAGCTATGGTTGAGTTTGCAGAGAAGGACTTTGAACAAGCTGTTTTCTTTCCTTTTTAGCCTCTTTTAAATTTTTTTGTGTTTTCTAAAACTTCTTTAATACTCTAATATTTTATAATAAGAAAACAACAACTGTATCTACATATTGCATTATATTATCATTATATATTCCATAACTTTTCTCCTTCCCAGACTGTGAGCTTCCTGAAAGTTGTACCTTATTTACCTGTGGCTCCTTAGATTAGGAGACATCTGATCTAACCTGGATGAAATACTCCATAAAAAACTGCCAAATGAACAACATGAATGAATCTGACATAAAACACTTCTTTAAGCAGGCCCTGATGGAGTCCCACTTCCCCGTCCATTACCAGAGGCTGGGTTGCAAATTCTCAAGCTACAGTATCAGCTACTGGCAGTGTTACTGGTGCTTACAGAATTCTACCTAACCAATCAGGAGGACACTAAACTGCCTGACTAGGAATGGGCTAGAGATGACCAAGAGGAAGGAGAGAGCCATAAGAGCCACTTACAGCAGCAAAGTGAAAGTAGTCCTCTGCCATTTAGCATTATAGCTGTCAGTGTTTTAACTGGAGACTCAGCTCACAGATGATTTCCTTGTCCAGCAAATTCACTGTGTAAGTAAAAGCAGGCTCTTTTCCACCTACTTTGAGTAAGCGTCTTGTTTAACAAAAGGAATAATGACAAATATACAAAGATTTATTTTAGTTAATCAGCATTAATACAGATGGTTTTATGGGTAAAAACAAAAATAAAGACTGCAATGTCACAGCCGGGGAAAACTAGGTATAACCATCTAGGCTCTCACTATAAGGTGATCAAGTGAGCCTCTGGATGAAGTCCCAGAGAGAGGGCCCTAGGCAGCACGGAAGAGTGGCCAAAGCTCGTTTTAATGTCCTAGGTTCCCCAATGTAAATATTTCCTCAACTGGATTCTGGTGCTCTCAATCTCCTTTAAATGCCCATTTCCTTGTTTTGCTGTCCTATCCTCTCCTGTTCTGTTTTTTGTTTGAGACAGCATCTTGCTCTGTTGCTCAGGCTGGTTTGTAGCAGCGTGATCTCAGCTCACTGCAACCTTCACCTCGTAGGTTCAAGTGACTCTTGTGCCTCAGCCTGCTGAGTAGTTGGGATGGCAGACACTTGCCAACATACCTAGCTAATTTTTGTATTTTTAGTAGAGACGAGGTTTCGCCACGTTGGCTGGGCTGGTCTGGAACTCCTGGTCTCAGGAAATCCACCCGCCTCACCCTCCCAAAGTGCTGGGATTACAGGGGTGAGTCCCCGTGCCAGCACCTCCCCTTTTCTTTTACTCCTACCAGTTCCACCTCTTAAGAAGATACACAACGTGGTCCATTGTATCACAAGTGTTCATCACCAAAGCATGTGTCCATACTGATCAGGTGTGTGTGTGGGGTGATTGTTCTGCTGAAAGGGCCTTACTGGCACCATTAATCCCTGCACCAAGGGGTAGCTCATTCATGCCAATCCCTGTTAGGAGTTTTGTTTTACTCCCTATCTGGGAGTACAGGGGCTGAAGGGACTTGGTTCTAGATTTCACTGACGAGGCTAGAAGGGAAGCATCACAAAGGCCATGAGAAACTTTACAAAGGAGAAGCTAATGCACATTTACAAAGATTTATATTTCAGATATCCTATTTTTTTTTTTTTTTTTTGAGATAGGGTCTCACTCTGTCATCCAGGCTGGAGTGCTGTGGTATGCTCATGGCTCACTGCAGCCTTGAACTCCTGGGTTCAAATGATCCTCTCATCTCAGCATCCCTAGCAGCTGAGACTACAGGCATGCACCACCACACCTGGATAATTTTTGTATTTTTTGTAGAGGCAAGATTTTGCCATGTTGCCCAGGCTGGTCTTGAACTCCAGGGCTGAAGTGATCTACCCATCTCAGCTTCCCAAAGTGCTGGGATTACAGATGTGAGCCATCAGGCCTGTCCATGTTTCAGATTTCCTGAAACTATCAGAATATTTCAGAGAAAGTCAGACTTGGCTCTTATTTGGAAACAGGAAGTCCTAGGTTAAGATATTCCTCTTACTTACTCTTAAATGTGTTTTCTGGTCTTATAAATAACAAATTGAGATAAATCTTCAGATGATGAAGATCTAAGATGAAGAAACCATCAAAGCAGGGGGTACCACTGCCTGTCTACTCTGCAGACAGGGGATGATCAAGGAACCTGGGTCTGATTGGCCATGCGACACTGGGGTATATCTGATGAGGACAGCAATCAGAAGACTAGCTGCCCAAAGGCACAAGAACCATTGATTTCTTCATGCCTTTGTGTCAGTGAAACCCCTAGGGGGTACACATCACAAATGACTGGTACACAAGAAGGGAAAAATAGTAGCTGGGCCGCGTTCTGCTCTGTGTTGGTGTTTTCTGTCTTTCAATTGAAGGTAAATATTTTTATACAGAGCATATTACACCCCCTATTGTCTGCTACTCCTCGCTTCCCTGTGGCTCCTGGACCCTGTTGGTCCTGAGTGTGCCAGGCCTAGCTGAGGGCAATGCCTGTACCAGAACTCCATTGGCTATCTTCTCCAATGACTCCTGCCCACTTCTGATTCGAGCAAGTTCCAGGTTCCTGTTGGCCTTACCTCTTGCCGTCTTTCTCATGTCTATCCAGTCTTTACCTTCCCATCCCCACTGCCCTGAGTTCAGGCCTCCATGACCTCTCCTCAACTACAGGGATGGGTTTTACCTGGTCTTTCTGTCCTAGTGTTTCCCTTCTTCAATCCATTCTCTGAACCGCTGGTGGCTTTCTCTTCTGGAAGCATGGCTCCTTAACATCACTTCCACCTGCATTTCCGCACTCTGGGCTCCACCCAGACTAAAGCTCACACTGTTCTCTCTACAGCCTAGAGTGTTTTCTACTTCCATGAATTTCATCACTCTCCTTTGTTCACTTGGAACTCCTTGCCCCCATCTTTGCATGTTCACATTCTATCCGTATGGAAGGCTAAGATTAATGAAAAACATACACAGAAAAAGACCAATTTTACCTATCTGTCCCAGTCAGAATTAATCTTTTCTCCTCTAAATTTCTGTAGCACTTTCTACTTTCGGAGTGACTGAGGTTCATGTGTTGGCTTTCCTACTAGTGCTATATCCCTGAGAGCAGAATTTGTGTCTAATTTGTCTTTGTATCCCCAACCTAGCACAGGGCTCCATTAACGTGTGAATAAATACACGAATGAATTTCTCACCTGCAACCTGGCAGTTAATTGTCACATTCACTCCCTGCACTGTTTTGATGGTGCTTCCTATATCGACTGTGACTGCAGGCTTCTCCATGTTGATCATGGTCATTCGTGACGTTTTCACTAGTGGCTTTCCTGAAGATAAGAAAGAATATGAGATGTTACTCGGTGGTGACTGGGGAAATTGGGGCTTTCCCTTGGAATATGGGTTAACCACCAATGCATGGCAGGTCTACCCAGACTTTTGGCACTGTGTTTTCTCCTGAAAAATTGTAAGTGCACAGTATAAAAGCATCTGCCCACCTACCTACCACAGCGTTGTCAGTAAAAGAACAAGGGATCAAGAGTTTGAAGATAGAGCACGTTATACAAACTGAGATGATTTATGCATTCTAATCATTAAATTAACAAATAACCCTCAACATGACATTTTACATGGCCTTTTTTTAATTAAAATTTTTACTTTAAGATTATTGTAGATTCACATGCAGTTATAAGAAGTAATATAGGGTGCTGGGTGCAGTGGCTCATGCCTGTAGCCGCAGAACTTTGGAGGTTGAGGTGGGCAGATCACTTGAGGCCAGGAGTTCGAGACTGGCCTGGCCAACACGGCAAAACCTCATCTCTATTAAAAATACAAAAATTAACTGGGTATGGTGGCGTGCACCTGTAATCCCAGCTACTCAGGAGGCTGAGGCACAAGAATGCTTGAACCCGGGAGGTGGAAGTTGCAATGAGCCGAGATCGCACCACTGCACTCCAGCCTGGGTGACAGAGAGAGACACTGTCTCAAAAAAAAAAAAATAATAATAATACGGAGAAATCTTGTTTACCTTACCCTGTTTTCCCAATGGTAATATCTTGTCCACTAGGGTACAATATCATGGCCCCATACTAACATTGATAAACTTAGGATACAGAGCATTTCCATCACTACAAGGACCTCTCAAGTAGCTCCCAAGCCCCCCTTAACCTTTGGGCAACCATTGATATGGTCTCCATTTCTAAAATTTCATCATTTTAAGAATGTTCTATGAATGGAATCACACAACATGAAACCTTTTGTGATCTTTTTTTTCTACTCACAATAATTCTCTGGAGATTCTTCCAGGTCTCACATGGTATCATGGTTACATGTATCAATAGTTTGTTCCTTTTATTACTGGGTAGTATTCCATGGTATGGATGGACCACAGTTTGTTTAGTTATTCTTTTGTTTAAGAATATCTGGGATGTTTCCACATTTTGATTACTACAAATAAAGCTGTATCAATATTACAGTACAGGTTTCTGTGTGAACATGTCTTCACTTCTCTGAGATGGCCAGGAGTGTAATTCCTAGGCCATAGGGTAGTTGCATGGTCAGTTTTTTGAGAAACTGCCTTATTCTAGAGTGCCTATACTATTTCACCTTCCCTCCAGCAATGTATCATTGATCCTATTTCTCTGCTTCCTTACCAACGTTTGATGTTGTCACTAGTTTTTATTTTAGTCATGCTGATAAGTGTGCAATGATATCTCCTTGTGATTTTAATTTGCATTTCCCTAATGACTAATAATGTTGAATATATTTTATGTGATTATTTACCACGTGTACACCCTCTTTGGTGAAATGTCTATTCATGTCATTTGAGCATTTTTGATTCAGATTATTTTTACTGAATTTTGAGGGTTCCTTATATTCAAGATACTAGTCTTTTGCCAAATATGCAGCTTGAAAATATTTTCCCTAAATATCTAGCTTTTCTTTTATCTTCTTAACAAGATCTTTTGCAAAGCAAAATTTTTAACTTTGATTTATTCATTTTTCTTTTTATGGATCATGCTTTTCAAATTTTTTCATTGACACATAACTGTACATATTTAGGAGGAACACTGTGATTTTTTGGATACATGTATACATTGTATAAAAATCAAATCCGACTATTTAGCATATCCATCACTTCTTACATTTATCATTTCTCTGTGGTCAGGACATTCAAAATCCCTTCTCCTAGCTATTTTGAAATATACAGTACATATAGTCACCCTGCTGTGCAAGAGAATACCAGAACTCATTCCTCCTATATAACTATAACTTTGTGCCTCTTGACCTATCTCTCCCTATCTTCCTCTCCCCACTCTCTTCCCCAGTCTCTGGTAGTCACTATTCCACTCTGTACTTTCGTGAGATCAACTTTTTAGATTCTACATACAAGTCAGATAACATAGTATTTGTCTTTCTGTACCTGGCTTACTTCATTTAACATAATGATCTCCAAGTTCATCCATGTTGCTACAAATAATAGGATTTCTTTTTTTTTTTTTTTTTTTTGAGACAGGGTTGGTCTTGCTTTGGCATCCAGGCTAGAGTACAGTGGTGTGATCTCGGCTCACTGCAGCCCCCGACTCCTGAGCTCAAGTTATCCATCCATCTCAGCCTCCTGGGTAGCTGGAACTACGTGTGTGTGCCATCACACCTGGCTAGAATTTTTTTTTTTTTTGGTAGATACAGGATTTCCCCATGTTGTCCAGGCTAGTCTCAAACTCCCGGGCTCAAGCGATCCACCCACCTCAGCCTCTCAAAGTGCTGGGATTATAGTCGTGAGTCACCATGCCCAGCCTCATTCATTTTGTTTTTTATGGTGGAAAAGTATTCTACTGTACACATATCCACATTTTCTTCATCTGTTTATCTGTTGATGAACACTTAGGTTGATTCTATATCTTGGATATTGTGAACAGTACTGTGGTAAATATGGGAGTGCAGATGTACTTTTTCATCTGTACTGTTGTACTGTTTGAGGTACTGTTTTCATTTCCTTTGCATACATACCCAGTAGTAGGATTGCTGGATCATGTGGTAGTTCTATTTTTAAATTTTTGAGGTATGATGTTTTCCATAATGGCTATACTAATTTACATTCCCATCAACAATGTATAAGAATTCCCTCTTCTCCACATCTTAACAATTTTTTTTTTTTTTTGTCTTTTTGACAGTATCCATTCTAACAGAGGTAAGGTGATATCTCATTCTAACAGAGGGAAGGTGATATCTCTAACAGAAGTAAGGTTTGCATTTCTCGGAAGATTAGTGATGTTAAGCATTTTTCATATACCTGATGTCCATTGGTATGACTTCTTTTGAGAAATGTCTATTCGGGTCTTTTGCCCTTATTAATTAACTAATTAAGTTCAGGGGCACACATGCAGGTTTGTTACATAGGTAAGCTTGTGTCATGGTGGTTTGTTGTACAAATTATTTCATCAGCCAGGTATTAAGCCTAGTACTCAGCAGTTATTTCTCCTGATCTTCTTCCTCCTCCTGCCCTCTGCCCTCCGTAAGGCCCCAGTGTCTTTTGTTCCCCTGTGTGTCCAGGTGTTCTCATCATTTAGCTCCCAGTTATAGGTGAGAACATGCAGTGTTGGTTTTCTGTTCCTGCATCAGTTTGCTAAGGATAATGGCCTCCAGCTCCATCCATGTTCCTACAAAGAATTTGATCTTGTTCTTTTTTTTTTAATCTTTTTTCCATTTTTAAATATTAAACTTTTTTTGTTGTTGTCTGAGTTCCTTACATATTCTGAATATTAATCCCTTGCCAGATAAAGAATTTGCAAATATTTTCTCTCCTGCTGTAGGTTGTCTTTTTATTCGGCTGATTGTTTCCTTTGCTATGTAGAAGCTTTTCAGTTTGATGTAACCCCCCAAAACTAGACAAGGACACAACAAAAAAAGTAAACTACAGGCTAATATCCCTGAAGAACATGTATATAAAAATCCTTAACAATACACTAGCAAAGCAAATTCAACAGCACATTAAAAAGACTGTTCACCACGATTAAGTTTCATACTACAGACACAAGGACGGTTCAACATATGCAAATCAATAAATGTAATACATCACAAGAACAGAATGAAGGACAAAAACTATATGCTGAACATCACTAATCTTCAGGGAAATCCAAACCAAAATCACAATGAGATTTCATCTCACCCCAATTAAAATGGCTACTATAAGAAAGATAGTAGATGTAGAAAAAGCATTTGACAAAATTCGACATCTGTTCATGATAAAAACTCGTAACAAATTAGGTTTAGAAGACCTCAGTACTAATAAAGGCCATATATGACAAATCCACAGCTAATATCATACTGAACAGGAAATAGTTAAAAGTTTTTCCTCTAAGATCTGGAACCAGACAAGGGTTTCTGTGTTCACCACTTTTATTGAATATAGTACTGCAAGTCCTAGCCAGGGCAATTAGTTAAGAGAATCACATAAAGGGCATCCAAATTGGAAAGGAAGAAGATAAACGGTGCTTTGCAGATGACATGATCTCATATATAGAAAACCCTAAAACTTTACTAAAAAATCATTAGAACAAACAAATTCAGTAAAGTTACAGGATTCAAAATCAACAAATAAAAATTTCTAGTGTTTTTATTTACTAATAAACTATCTGAAAATAATAAAGGAAAAATCCCATTTACAATAGCTACAAAAAAACCCTTAAGAATAAATTTAACCAAGGAGGTGAAATATGTCTACATTCAAAATTATAAAACATTGATGAAAGAAATGGAAAAGGACACAAATAAATGTAAAGATATCCCATGCTCATGGCTTGGAAGGATTAATATTGTTAAACCATCCATACTATACAAATCGATTTACAGATACAATGCAATCCCTGTCAAAATACCAAGGACATTCTTCACAAAAATAGAACAATCTTGAAATTTGTGTGCAAACATAAAAGACCCCAAAATAGCCAAAGAAACCTTAAGCAAAAAGTACAAAGCTGGAAGCATCACACTACCTAATTAAAAAATTTATAGTAATAAAGCTACAGTGACCAAAACAGCATGGTATTGGCATAAAAATAGACACACAAACCCATGGAACAGAATAGAGAACACAGAAATAAATCCACATACTTACAGCCAACTTATTTTCAACAAAAGTGCCAGGAACACAGAACAGATAAAGGACAGTCTCCTCAATAAATGGTGCTGGGAAAACTGAAGCTAGACCCCTATTTCTTGCCACATAAAAATCAAAAATGGATTGAAGATTTACATATAAGACCCCAAATGATAAAACTACTGGAAAAAAACATAGAGGAAACACTTCTTGACATTGGTCTGGGCAACA